TCGAAAAATCGCGGACACCGAGTCACGACAGCGCTTGCTCCGCGATATAGCTTCGTGTCAGAAAGTAATTAGAACATTTTCACTAATAATAAGCTATTGAACACTGATTTGCATAATACACAGCGTTACACTCACGGATATGAAAATCCGCAAAACAGTGCAATATGTAAAGAGTCGTTTCGAAGGAAACACAGAAAAGAAGCGGAAAGTGCGCGCGTGCACTCTGCCAGAAGCATTCGTTTCCCGTTATCTTTCGCGCACGCATGCGGTTGCACACAAGCCGCGAGCCAAACCAAACGCGAAGTTTCGCAATAAGCCCGGGAATCACTGTTATATACCCAGCAGCAGATACACGACGCGCGCGCGCGCGCGCGCATCCAACGCGCTTTTCAGAGCGTCTATTTGCCCGAAAAAAATTCGCTTCGAGTAGACGCGCCGTCGCTGTGAGATATAAAAATGTACTCTTCGGATTTACGACGATGGGGAGAGCAAAAATACAAAAAAGAAAAAAAAAACAAGAAAAAACAGAAAAAATACGAAAAATTAAAAAAACCGAGCGGGATACTCGAGAAATACGTGCGCGATGCGCGCGAATACGCGCGAGTGTATACATGTATGTATGTATGTGGATCAGAGAAAACGATCGCGTTTTTGTCAGAGAGGGTAAAAAACATTTTGCCAGTTCGCGTAGGAGATGCTGGAGGCAGAAACAATTTTCGATTCGACGCATGCGAAAATTCATATAGCTGCGTCGAAAGAGGCGGGGGGAAAAAGGGGAAAAGAGTGCGCGTCAGGGAATCCGAAATATACACGAAGAGACACAGAAAAAGATACGCGCGCGGAACAGAGCGCCGAGGTATCGAAATGTTCGGCGCGTGGACCGCGACGCCGTGATGGAAGAGAAAAATTGCCTATTTCGACTTTCAGCATTTTTCCAGGCGCATTTCATCACTCGCCGCGCTCCGTAATCTAGATTGCGGCTTGTGTGCATACCGACGAAATATTCCCGATATGCGTTGATCATCTCCGTCCTCGCTTCTCACTCTCTTTTTCTCCATTGAAAACGCTCTTCGGTTTTCACGTGAACAAAAAGGGTGTATCTTTCACCCCGCTGTTTTCTTGACTGTGTCACGCGACGCTCTCAACGAAATTTACGCCAATTCTTTGAGAAAGCAGTTCTATATTAACGCAAATTTTGTTTCACGTTATTCTTCCGTGAAACTGCTAAAAAAAAAAGTATCAGACAAAAATTCAATCAATTTCTATGGTTGATCCTTTTTCGCCGTAGTGGAGATAAAAACGATAACGCGCGCTCGAGGAAAAATTCTGACTTCTTATCGACGTAATATTGTGTAATTACTCAGAGTGCGCTTTGCACACCTAAACACGCGCAAAACCTCTTTCAGAGAATGTGTTCTTTAAGTGTATCTTAATCAATCGTGGGTAGGCCTGTGTGTTGACGTAACGTCGTTATGTTGTAAACGTTTTTCGCTACGAAATTCGTGAGCGGAATCGAGCTGGGAGTGGATGCATTTGTTGCAACGGCCGACACAGCGGCGCTTTTTATCGGCGTGGATCTTCTTTCGTGTCGCACGCACGGTGGAAAAGGGTTACGATTGCAATATAGCTCGAGCCGACCTGAGAGAGAGAGAGGGAGAACGGGGGGAGAGTCGGTTGCTTGGAAAGTCGGTGAAGTACCAGTGTGCTCGTGTCACGCAAAGAATAAACGCCGACTATTTGTACGGCGTTTAAGAGGCGTCCGTGTTCCGAGAAATGGGAAAACGAAGAGAGATCCAAGTAACACGACAATCGCGCTATAACATCGATACGTCACTAATAACGTTCTTTCATAGGCAAATGAAAGTCACAACGATCGCGGACAATTAGCCGAACATTTGTTTCTAAGTAAAGACAAATATATTTATAACAGACAAGAGATTTATTTATGTGTTTACACAGTTGGAGATTAATATTTAAAAACATATCTTAAAAAATACTTGAAACATTGAAAATTCTGACGTCTGATATATGTACATATCTAATAATTGTTAAATTGTAAAACAAGTTAAATGAGTTATTCGTGTGTGATATAAAACAAGCCATCCAATATGAATTTTTTAATTGACTTCAGAATTATTATAAGTACTAATTGACACGGTTGAGAAAATATATTTCGCGCACGTGCAGCACGAGACTCTCTCATTGACCGAAAAACTCTGCTAGTTTGATAATCTAGCTTAAACTTTGTAAATTTGTTTCTAATATTTCTTTAATAAATGTCCGGAGTTAATCGGGACATTTATCTCAAGCGTGTTAAAAAGCTTTTATTTTCATCATGTATACAGAGATTGTGTATGTGTGTGTTATTATAAAATTCTAATTTCCGAGCTTATACATGATATGGTTTGTAAAGTTTAATTACAGGCTGTCTCTCGGAATTGTACACATATTATCTCTGTTGCATCTTAGCGCGCGAGTATTTTTCTGATTTATTGTAGTCGACAATAAATTGCTTCAATTTATTTTTAATTTCTATACAAAGAGATTAACTGCGGTGTGTTTTTTACTATATAAACAATTAGATGTTATCTATATAAAATGCTCACGTCCATAACAGAGCGGACAATAATTAGACACGCGCGCTCTTGCGTGTAAACATTTCATAGCCGTTATCGCAAGGTTTCGTTGATACGCGCGTAATATCTGTAACGACTTATCGGATCAGATAAAAAAAAACCTATGCATACTCTTGTAAAAATCTCATGTTTCTTATCGCGAACGGAACGGTTTCGCGCGCGGGATTGTGCATCCAATCCCGTAAACAACTGGGACGAAAAAAATACAGGTGATTTCATAGATTTCGAGAAGAGAAGAAAAGAGAGAAAGAAATTAAAGATGCTCGTTATCAAAGCGACAGGTTGTACCTGGGGTGTTTCGCGCGACATTTTCCGTCACACCGAGTAGTGTACGAAGATGAAGAATTCACGGGAAAAACACGCGCGCGCGCGTGTGTGTGTATGTGCCAACGAGAGGCGCGACGAGAGGTGCGATTTATTGGATGAAATGCAAATTGAATCGTAGTTAGCCTAGAGAGAGAGAGAGAGAGAGAGAGCCAAGGGAACGACGCGAGTAAATCGTTCGTCCAACCCTCTCTGCGTCCCTTTTCTTCGCCTTTCCCAGAGGGCCTTCATCCTCTTCTCCGATCCCCTCTCGATTTCGCCGTGTTCTTTCTCCGATAATTCGCACATAAATTCACGACAAATTGAAATAAAAACTGGGTCGATCGAAATGCAATTTGCCCCCGAATGCAGGACGGAAAAGACCCCCCCAAGATCGTTTACCAGTCGAGAGCCAACAGCGCGGGTTTTCCCCGTGCGATCTACTCCCGTCGTTAATTGCCTACTTTGCATCTGTTTCTGATTTCCCCGTGTAGCACAGCAGCCCCGAGCGGTCGTTACCAAAACGCCGGGCCTCTTCTTTCGAGAGTGATTCGCGCCACGCGTCGCAAGCGTTTTCGCCGCGCGCGCGCGCACACGCGTGCGTTATTTAGCACGCGAGAACCCGCGCGATTTATCGCTCGCTAAACGCGCGACGCTTTTATTTAAACCACCGGGTTTAAATTTAAATAGCCGGCAGCGCCTTTTATTGCGCTAGATTTCTAGGAAAATAAACAGAAAAACGCGCATTACGAACAACTGCTCTCGTTTTGCATTTTCACAGCGAGAAACATGTATAATGACGGATATTTGCTGGAAAAAAAAAAAGACACATTCGCAAAACCTCTCTCTGCTTTAAAGCTGATTCCAGAGCTACCGATGACTTTTATCTTCCTTTTTCTCGTCAGAGAGAAAACCATTCGTCACGTACGTACGTATGTGGACGCGACGAACACCACCTCCTTGTGCAACGTAACGCGATTTATTAATGAAACGCGCGTTTCCATTAAGAAGAAAACTTTTATATCGAATTCGCGTAATTCACGCAATGTGTTTTCTGCAAACACTCACACACGCGGCAAAAACCTCTCTCAGCCGGGTAAAAGGTTTGCGCGCGATAATAAAAGCCGCTCGAGCTACGCGCGAAAATACAGCGGATTAACTTTTAACCGATATTTAATCTCGTCGCAATTTAACAATTGAATTGTTAAATCGAAATAATTCTAAACAAAATCCCAACGATATTGCACACACTTCACAGCGCTAAATAATACATTTCACCCGAAACTCCACCACGCAACCTTCAACTGTGTAGAATGTGCGCAATTATGTAGGCGGTGATTATATCGGTTGCGCGCTACACGTTCGCTATAATTCCACCCTATATTTACCCGATATTTTCAGATTTTCCGGATATCAATACCGATATTCGCGGCTGTCCGGTGGCTATTGGAACTTACATTTTGTTTTTAAATTTCAAACATTAAAAAAAAAAGTTTATCCTCCAACTCGTGTCAATCCGATAAAAATAAACATTGTCCGCGAGAGAAAGCGTCTTGCAATTTCACAACGCGATCGTAATTCAGTTTCGCGATAACAAATTGCAAATCGAAGTTTATTAATCGACGTTTCTTCTCTGTTGGAAATGTGAGCGTGGAAATAAATTTTCTTGAAAAAGACGGTGAAAAATCGTCGTATCGTGACACAATCAGCGACTAATTTCAATCGTCGCGTGCTTGCGTGATGCCGCTGGCATCTTTACGCTCCACATGTCGAAGGCACGCCGCGAGAATTCGCGGACCGAACGGAAATGCACGGACTCGAGCGCGCGATTCGGAGACCAATATGTCGCATTCCGATCTAATAACACACACGACGTTGCGCCGATCGGATCTATCCGGACGACGAGCGCTCAAGCTCTGTTTGCGTGATGAATATAATTACAGTCTGTCGATGTATTACGTGAAAAAAAAAAATAGCTAAATTAATCGCTAATTAACCGCGACACGAGATTTCTCGCCAAGAATTTACTTTCCCGGCGAAAGACGACGTGCGTGCGCTTACCTCGCGATCACTTTCGACGAGTCCATTTCCGCAGAACGTTACGTCCTTCCTTTCCAATCTGTAACAAAGAAAGCGAAGATGGTAATATTATTCGAGAATGAATTATAATAAGATAAACATCCCAATAACATCAAGTGTTCGAACATTTGTTAAGGTCGGACATTTGTTAAAGAACTAACTTACAACAAAATATTTACAAATACAAAGTTAGAAAATAATAATTAAAAATATTTAAATAACATCTCAGTATACTTGAAACTTTGTGAAATACTTAAAATCTATTTTTTGCAAGAAACCCGGCGCTTTTCAATATTTAAATTCCGCAATCAGTTGCGCAATATTGCAGAACAAATTAGAAACACAATAAGTGGCGATGCCAGATGCCGGCGCCGTAATAAGGGACGGAAGGAGATGAGAATTGGCGACTACTTCGAGTAAGAGGGAACAAGCTGCGCGACATTCCAATTAGCAAATTCTTGCCAACCGACTCGAATGAACAAATTCTCGCACGTATCCCTAGCGCCAAATGTTGTTCCTCCACGCCACACTTGGCAGCTTGCGACACACGTTTTAATTAAGCTGATCGTACTTTTTGTTTCAATGGTAAACAAAAGTTGCGCGGTGATACACACCAATCTCGTCACGTGCTAACATTCAAAAAATCATTTACATCAATTTTCTCCTCTCCTGTCCATCAACATTTAACGTTACGTAACACACAAAAAATGTTAACTCTTATTAAAACAATAACACGTAAATTGACAGGTAGATGGACGCGCTCGCGAAAATTTCGAGATAAATGACGATCTTTTAGCGAAGAAGGTGCACAGCACAGGTGTAATAAATTATTTACTAAAGCTCCAAAATACGAGAGCGGGATAACTGTGACAGTAAACTAGGAATATTAATCACGAACTCAATATTTTATAAGATGAAACGTGGATGATGACTGTGTGTTTCCGTTCGAATATGGTGTCGCGCAATGAATTCTGAATGCCCGGCGCGCAAATCGATCGACGGAAAATGTCGATTAACCGAGTGATGTGATTTTGTCGTTCAATCTCTACTCGCGTTCCATTTAACTCGCGCGTATTAACTTTTCCGAACACTTCTGTGCGAATTTCTCGCGCAACATGGAGATTTAAAAAAAAATTTATTAGGGTAATCACATCTACGGTTAGCATCCCTCTCCCCGATAATTGACACTTATTGGATTTTTCTCCAGTTGTCAACATTTTTGTCTGTGGTTTTTTACTTTTTTTACTCGACACAGTTGCGGTGTCCAATCCAATTAAATTGGATTTTTGTGCGGAGAGAACACATTAGTTCGGAGTAAGAAACTAAAGATAGTTGGCATTCTTTAGAGAAGAAGAAATTGACAGGTTGTTAAAGTGCCAATCACACCGGGCTTTTAAAAAGTGTCAATCGTTCTGTACGTTAAAATCTTTATCTCACCGCACGTCGTGACGTGTCTTAAGAACACACTACAGCAACGGCTTTTTTTTTTTTTTTTTTTTTTTTTTTTTCGCGTTTTTTTTATTGCGAACAATCTCGAGAATATCCCGTTGAGCTCGGTAAAATTTCATGGAAACGAGATCCACGGTCGCAAAAGAACGTGCGCCGTATAAAGTTAAAAAAGTTTCGTATGCATGTCTGGCTCCGTTG